GATCAGATCTCTCCAGTTCACAGAGTGGTTGCATAGGGCAACTTTGTGCAAAGGGATAAGAGCATACCATGCCCCTCGTGTCTCCCTGGAAACATGGGGAAATCATGATGGCCCTTGGCCACCCCAGCCAGGGCTGCAAGCACAGGAAACATTGCTTCAGCAGCACGAACAGCTTGAGAAGCTCCTCTTGCCCCAGCTGCCTGCTTCCAACCATACTCAAACCTGGAGCGTGGATGTGAATCTACCTGGAGCCAAGTCAAGGAGAAAGGGGTCATTCTGAACCTGCTTCAACAATCAGGTCACTGCTGTCAGCATGGAGGATTGTGCAAGGGACCTTGCTTGCCCAGGCTTTGGAGCATGTCTGTACTGCACCGGAGTCTGCAGCTACTGTGGTGAAGAAAACTGGTTCTCTGGAAGTTATTTCTCCAGTTCCCATTGCGTAGTAAAATGGATTTGCTGTTGCACGAGTGAAAGCTGGTTGGGGAATGCTGCAGCAGTGCCATTCCAGTAGCCTTCCAGCAGATCTCATCACATCTCCAACTCCCCAGGAAACAGGAATCAGAAGAACAGCACGGCACAGAATAATTACTATTCAATCCTAAAATTGAAGGATTTTACCAAATTAGGGTTCTCACTGCAATTCCCAAATTCCCTGGGATACAGAGCTTTCTTTTGTTCAATCTGATGCAAAGATGGATATAGGCATGCAGAAGGATTCAAGGATAGAAATGTTGCAAGAGCAAGATTTTCCATGTCTGTTGTTGTTGGATCAGTGGTCATACGGGGGGATCTCTGTTGAAGAGTCATGTTGGCTCGTTGACTTATGTGCCAATAAGCCAAGGGGGGGGCGAGGGAATCTGTTTGGAGCAATGCAGAGGGCATGGCCTTGGAGGCAGGGAGACCAAAGAGCCAGAATGAAAGGTGTAAGTGGTTTTAAATGTATACAGATGATATCTGTGTAATTAACTACTCAGATTTAAGTTACACCCTTTTTGTGTGTGTGTGTAGATAATGCCGACGGCTACGCTGTTATCTTAGAAGAATGTTTGTGTCTGGGGATTCATTCTCATCCTGCCAATAATAAACCTTCCCTGAAGTTTCTGAAACATTAATTACAGTTTTGTAACACGTGAGTTTTGCAACGAGCTCAAGGTAATTCTCTGTAACACCAAGCTCTGACAGAAACAAATTAATCGCTGATTTGAGAACTGACAGTTGCCTAGGCATGAGCACTCAGGAGTTTATTACGTTTGTTATGTATAAATAAAATTGGTCTCACCATGTTTGCCAGCTTGCCTGCTGCATACGCACACCCTCTGACACAGCCAGCACCTGGGAAGAACCCATTTCCCCCAGCTAAGAAAGCAAGTTCGAACAGCCCCACACAGGATGAAAAGTTGAAAGCGAGGATCTCAGCCATGGCTGCACAATGCTTGCAAGTATTTAATAAAACTGGAATGGAGGAATGCTTGATTCATGAGTCCACATCCTCCGAGTGCTATAAAAACCCCATCCCGATTCCTCCTCCTCTTCCTGCCCCCTCCAACCAGCTCACACTGCAGTGGGAAGGGTCATTCCCTGGGGCAGGAGATTGTCCATGTCCAGAGGGTCCCACCCAGGGGCGCTGCTCCTTGCAGCATCTGTTGACCCTTTTTGCATTTCTACTGACTTGTGGAGGGGAATTACCTCCCAGCCAGGCACTCAAAGGCTGCTGTTTCTCCTTGACCATTTGATACGGAGTTAAATTCCCATTGGCATTATATTTCTTAATTGGCACAATCATTCAAATTACAGTGGCTTTCCTGCAAGCCACAACGTGTTTGGGACTGTGGCAGGTCTTTATAACCACAGGAGAAAAGTCTATCATAGCAGTTACAGTCTGCAGCTCACAAGTAGCTTTTCACCGAAGTGTACTACAAGTACAGGTACTGGTTGTGATTTTGAAAGTGTTTTCTCTGTCCAACTTCCCTTGTCCTTTCCTTCCTCTTGGACTATCATCTCCTGCTCTCCAGTTCATGCTCAGCACCTCTAATCCTGGTGCTGGTACAGCTGACAGGAGCCTGGCTCTGTCTTCCCTGCACCTCCCTGCAGGCGTCTGTGGACACAGATGAGATCTCCTCTATTCCAGGTTGAAGGCACAGCCCCTCCTCACAGCAGTCAGGCTCCAGTTTCTGCATCATTCCCATTGCCTTTTGCTGGGCTTGCACTGCGGAGCAGTCCAGATATGGCCTCACCAGTGCTTATAAATACATCAGCAATCAGAGAAAGTACCAAGCACAAGCCATTATAATCAACTTCTTTTTATTTTTTTATTTTTATTTGCAGGAATTAATAATGTGTACCCAAGTGTTTTATAGTTAAGAAAGTCACTGAGCAATTAACATCAGTAGTCAAGGAATCCTACAGAAGCTCCAGAGACCCAGGAGAATAAAGCTAACACCTTACTTACTTTTGTGAAAAGAAAGCATGAAGATGGGAAGTCCATATCCTCTAATCTAAGAGTCATAAATAAAATGATATAAATGGTGCTGTGGGATACGGTAGTTGAAAGAGAATTAAGACGAACTAATTAGCAGTGGGCCTTCTGAGCATACAGGTTTTTTTGCATGAAAAAGTTAAAGAGATGCGAGGCACCTCAAGATGTGGAGATAGGGATGCCCACAGCTGCGTCATGGCGTAGTGCTGCCAGATGTGTTGTCAGAGCCACCAAGTGCTTCTCCGCAGCGCTGCTCAGTGAGATCTTCTCACGCCTGTGCTCATAGCTGGGAT